ATGGAAGAGTTAAGAACAGAATAAAATTATAAGAACAGAGCATCTGGGAGGTCAGTCTATGATCAAAACAATTACAATGTGAAAGAAGGTAAACACAGCGTAACAGAGATTCAGGTGGTGAGAAGGTCAGGTAGATTACAGGATAAAATAGACTGTTTTAAACCAAGGGAAGAGTTAGTGGAATATAAGGAACCACAACAGTGGGGTTGGGGTGGGGGGTTTAATTTGGGTATTAGGGAGAGCAATACAAGAAGGAGGAGGAGGTGGAAGAACAAGATTGGTAGGGGAACACTGAGACAGGTTTGCATAGCCTAAGTGGGACAGAGGTAAATAGTGATGTGTGTTTAACCTTGGAATAACAGGGCTCTGCAGTACAGTGATCTAGGCATAGTTTGAAGAGGGGAAATAATCCTAAAATGCTTGATTGTCTTATGAATATTGGTTTCCCTTGCCTACTATTGTAAAATAGACATTTGAGTGGGACAGAAAGAAATGCCTGGAAACATGATTACAGAAAACTTGTAAGCCTGTCTTCAGCCTATAACTGATTGGAATACCTAAAAGGGGTTCTAGAATTTGCCCAGTGAAGTACGCCTTGCAAAGCCCTTGCAGAGTATAGGACCTTAGACGGAATCCTAAGACCCATACAGAACCTTATGAGGTGGGACATTCCCACTAGCAAGGACAAGCAGACCAGCCTGGAACAGCTAGAGCAACAGAAGATATATCTTCAAAGAAAGAACATCAGGAAAAACCCAAAACAAAAATGTCATCATGACTGGCTACTACAAGAATAAGCAAGCTGTTCACCAGGAAGACATCAAGGCTAGCAATCAAGTTCCTTCAGGACAAACTCCTCTCTAAGACTAAAACTCAAAGGGAACACACAAATAAGCATGTAAGCTTGCTGGTGACCACATTGGTCTACTGGTGAGTGGAAGAGGGGGAAAGGCAGCAATGAAGAAATGGGCTGAGTTCAACCACAGTCCATTAAATCCCGTTGACCTGGAGATGAGAGAGAGAAGAGGAAGGGCTGGTTGGTCCAAAGTGTGGTGAGACCTGGGGATTCTTGAGTCCATGGACAAGGACATAGCCACAGAGGGCTAGAGCTGATAGTGAAGCATCCAGCTGATATGAAGTAAGGGGAGATGAACAAGAAAACCTGAACTCGCAGACAGTATCCATTTGACCTAGCCTTGATGGCTTGATAATCAGAACTGGACTAGAGGAATAACTTATATGTATGTATGTATGTATATATATATATATATATATATATATATATATATGTATATGTATATGTATATATTAGTTTAAGAGTGTGAGGGTGGGGAGAAAGAGTCCCCACTGAATAGCTGTCATCTTGTCTAGATGGGTCTGGTGAAAAGAGATGGGGATAAGATTTGTATGATTCAATAGTGAGAAATTGTTATCATGACTAATTGCAACTGTGACAATTGTAAAGGTAGAAGTTTTGTAACAAAAACAGGGGAGTGGTTAATCTCATAGTCCAGAAATAGAGGCCCCTAGGACCATCAAGGGGGAAGAGCACAAGCAGAATGCGGGACCTTATCCAGAGAAGCAGTGAGGCCAGAGACGGAGGCAGAGATGGGGTCATGGAGAAGGGGAGTGGCAGAGGACTCTAGATTCGTAGGAAGAGAGGGACTAAGAACTGGTGGCCAGGAGGCAGACTTGCAGAATGTGCCCTTTGGAGGTGGAAATTATTATATTGCCTGAGTGTTTTTTTGTGTGCTTTTTAAAAAAGCTAAAGTGAATTAAGAGAAATACTATTAACTGATGGTACATGGAGGGGATTATTATAATTGTAATGAAACAAGGTGTATGATTCATTGAATGTAAAACTGATGATCTGCCCTATAAACATTCACTCAATCCACAAAAAAACCTTAAACACACATACACACACACAAATGGAAAGAGATCAGAGAATAATAATAAAAAATTAACAAAGTAGGGGAGAAGAAGAAAGAAAGCAGTAGCAGCAGTTAGGAAAAAGAAGCAGAAAAAAAGAAGAAATAAAAGGAAAATAGAAAGGATAGAAAGCAAGAGAGAGAAGGACAAGAAAGGAAGAATAAATAAAAACAATGACAGAAAAAACAGGCAGATGGCAGGTCTGGAGACGAGAAAATTCTGGGATCTCCTGCTAGTCCAGGACCTCATGTCATTAGTGGGTAAGAGATGAGATGGTAACACTACAGTCTTAGATGGAGTTCCTGTAGGGGTAGATGCTGTCTCCTCTGGGCACCCAATCTGGAAATAGTTCATGCAGAACTCAAGGCAGCTGGAGGATCAGGGTATTTCTGTCCCAGAGGGCAGTCAGGGGTGAGAGATCCCTCTGATTCCAGGTGACACGATTGGTGCTGATTGTACACAACAGGTACACTCTGTTGTACCTCCAGCCATCCAGAGAGCAGGAGTTTCACTGGGGGTGTAAGCAGGTGGGAGCCAGCTATACCTCTGGTCACCAGGGTGATGTGGAGTGGAATAAAAAACTGCCACACCTTTCTTTCCACCAGTAAGTGGTATGCAGCTGCACCATCTGTGAAAGTTCAAGATGGCCACGTCGTGCCTGGCTGGCCCACACAGGTCACCAGTCTGGATTTGTTTTGTTTTAAATCACTGATGTGTCTTTTCAGCTGTTTCTTCTAGTGAGGGCTAGTTGGGACTGGTCAGGGCCAGCTCTGCATGTTTGGAGTAAGGGCTCATTCGAATGGATTGAGTGCAATCGCTCCCTGCTCCTGTAACGGAGCTCTCACGACTGTGCTGTTTACGTCCATGCGACTCCGACCACCAGGAAAGTGGGAGCTGCCCAGGAGTTTACAAATGTGGGGGGCTGTCCTCACCTCTGGTCACTAGTGGAGTGTGGGGAACAAGAAAAACATGGCACCTTTATCTCCATGAGCAACAGATCTGTTTCTGCAACACCAGTATGTTTTCTTGTCTCTGAAGTCACTCTCAAAAGCTCAAACTGGCTGCACTGTGCCTGGTCAGCCAGCACATTTCTGTCTTTTTTTTGCTGTGTTTGCTAAGGTGTCTCTCCTAGTAAACATCCAATCCACTTCTCCATCCCTTCATCAGAAGCTCAGTTTCAGGACAATCGTCTACATCTGTTTAATTTGCTTTTCCATATCTTTGTTGTAGAGCGTTCGTACAGCCTTTCTGCCTAGTCCACCATCTTGCTGTCACTTCCCTGAGGTTCGTTTTGATCAAGAGTTTCAGCAGGTTTCCTTATAGCCTGTCTTCATTGTCTACAATCCTGGGGTCTATCATTTAGGTCTCCTTTTCCAAATCCAAGAGTGAGGAGTTTGGCCCCAAAGACATGGCTTTGAATCTGGATCAACCATTTATTTGATATGGGGAATTCCCATAATGCCTCTAAACTGCTGTTTCTTCTTCTGTGTTATGGGTTGAGTCGCATCTCCCTAAAAGTGTGTGTTGGAATCTTAATCCCTGTACTTGTAAATGCGATTTTATTTGGGAATAGGGTTTTTGCTATGATAATGAGGATGTATCAGTGTAGGGAATATCTTAAAGCTAATCATTTTTCTTAAAAAACTAGCAAACTTTTTATTATGAACTGGGTGAACATCAACAGAACAGATCAGTTTCCATTTCAACAATTCCTACACTTTTTGTTTCATGTCATTGATTACAATCCCCACTTACCCATTTCCTCCCTGTGTTTCCTGTTTCCATTCCTCCTTCTTTCCTAACCCTTCTGAGCTTGGTCTTTGGGTGAATGCTGCCTTTTTGATTGCAAATGGTTTGTATACCTCCCTATTGTTATTGTTCTCCTTGTCGACCTGTCTGTTGTTTGAAATTTGAGCCAGATGAGTGAGTTCATTCAACTGAAGGATAACTAAGGACCATAGTGTTGGGTCAACTGGCACAATAGAGTCCACAAAGCTAATGTTTTACATCCTACTTTGGTTAGTATTGACAGGGATCTTAAAAACAAATGAGAGGCCATCTAAGGTGCAACTATTAGTCTCTCCCTATTCAGAGGAAAGAAGAACAAAGAAAATAGAAGTCAAATGGAAGGGATTAGCCCACAACCCTGAGACCAGAACTAGATGGTGCCTGACTGTCACTTCCAACTGCTCTGAACGTGATCACAGTAAAAAATCTTGGATAGAGAGGGAAAAAAGTGAAACAAACCTAAAGTCATAAACAGATCAGGCTTACTGGTGAGCTACAGTATGTCACTTTTGAGATATAAAAAAAGATGAATTAGAGGCAGAGACATGAAAGCACAAATGGGGGAAAGAGCGATGCCACGTGGAGATGTTCAAGGACCTGAGGAACAAACATTTTCTTCCAGAGCAAATAAAGAGTCTTCCCCTAGAGGCCAGGTACTCTGAATTCAGACTTCTAGCCTCCTAAAATGTGAGGAAATAAAATTAGGCTCTTTAAAATCACCCACTTGTGCTATTTCAGTTACAGAAACATTCTAAGACATTTTGTAAAATGGCAAGAATAATTAACTGAAGTTAAGAGATTTGCTCACATCCTATTACTGATCAGTAGCATGGTTAGTATTTGAACCCTGTACATTTGATGTCAAAGCCTATGTTCTTAACCACAGGAGATCATTGGAATTCAAGTCTTTCTACTTCATCAGTTGACTCTTAGTGAGAGATGGGTCAGGATAGGCAGGAATGTGGGAGGGCTTTGAAGTTGAGAGAAGTGACCATTAGAACAGGCATCACTGAGTTGGAGTGATGGAGGAAGCTCTGAAGAAGTTGCAGGATGCTGAGTTACCTCTGTCTCTTACTCATGCCTCCCTGCAGGGATTCCAGGAGCCAGAGTGGGAACAGATGGCATGTCCTTACCTCATAGCACATGAAGAGGCCAGTGGGTCTGGTGGGCTTGATCCTGACGCCAATATTTCCTTCAGTGTTGGGAGGCAGGATATTGCCCTTGCCGTCAATGATCTGGAACCAGAGGTCTGTGAATCCCACCCTGCAGGTCTCCCTCAACACTCCTGACCCACCCAAGCAATGCCTGGCTCAGTCATGTGACTTCCTCAGGGCTAATGGGACGGGGTAGTGGTGGAGGATCCCCATTGAAAATACAACCAAATGGTCAAAAGTCTTGAAACCAGCAAACTATGAAACCCAAAGTCATGTGTCTATTTAGTTCATGGGCAGTTTATTGCTGCTGTCCAGCTAAGAACATTGCCCAGTTCTTGCATCAAATATGGGCACATAGACATTGAAGCATTTCTTACTGTTGGAGAACATTGTTTAAGGAAAACTTAGGGCACCAGCTGGTGGAAAGAATTCCCAGCTCTTTGTATACAAAGAGCTCACACTGGGAAGTGAGAAGGTCTGGGTTCTGGTCTCCAGGGGCTCTGTTTCTGTTCACTGTTTATGATGCCTCTAGCTGCCAGGACAAGCCACACTAGTGCCCACAACACTGTAGTTCTCAGTGGCAGCCTCCACAGGAGACTGAATGAAACATAGGGAGAGGAAGGACGAGTGGGGCAGGGAAGCTGGCTGCCTAATGACATTTGGTGCTGTACATGGTCCAACCTCAGACAAACCCTAGCCATTCTCTGTCAGCGCCATCGGACCAAACCTGAACATCAAAGGGTGAGATGGCCTTCCCCAAGGAACCCGGCTTGATCTTTGTTCCTCTAAGAACACCACATGTTAGTCCCTGTGTAAAAAAAAAAGATTAGGATCGGTAAGCAAGTCCAGGTTGGTCACCAAGCAGCACGAATCACACACAGAATCCCTCTGTTCACAGTTAGCATTTGATGTATACAAAGAGCTCACACTGGGAAGTGAGAAGGTCTGGGTTCTGGTCTCCATGCTTTGACTCAGCCTTACTCAGTTGATACTGTGATGCCCGAGAAAGACTGGCCCAGTGCTAGGTAGTGGGTACAGCGTCTCCAGGAACTCGTAACCTAGTGATTATGTACAACGGAGCGAACCACTGCGCTGCCCTACGGCATCCTCACAATGATTACAGTGCTTGTCCTATTGTTACACCCACTGTATCAGTCCATCTTATTGAAGGTCTTCTTCTGTTTTGCTGACCCTCTTTACCAAGCATATTGTCCTTCTGCAGGGACTGGTTCCTCCTGATAACATGCACAAAGTACACGGGACAAAGTCTCATCATCCCTGCTTATAAGGAGCACTCTGTCTTGCAAGAGAATTTGTTTGTTCTTCTATGGTATGTGGAATATGGTATATTTAATATTCGTCACCAACACCATCATTCAAAGGCAGCACTTCTTCTCCAGTCTTCCTTATTCATTGTCCAGCTTTCTCATGTGTATGAGGTGATTGAAAATATCATGGTTTGGTTTAGGTACACTTTAGTCCTCAGAGTGATATCTTTTGTTTTTTTAATACTTTCAAGCATTATTTTGCAGCAGATCTGTCCAATGCAATCTGTCATTTCAAAGTAAAATGACATCCCTGACCATTCCAATATTCCCTACATTTATCATGTTACTTACTGGTCCAGTTGTGAGGGTTTTTATGGTTTCAGTCCAATGCACCTGAGTCCTCGACACCTTTGCTCTTCCACACTTTAAAGAGGTCTTGTGCAGCAGATTTGCCTGATAAAATACATCATTTGATTTCTTGACTGCTGCTTCCATGACTGTTGATGGTTGATCTGAGCAAAATTAAGTCCTTGACAATTTCAACTTTTCTCCATTTATATGAATGTTGTTTATTGGTCCAGTGGTGAGGAGTTTTGTTTTCTTTTCATTGAGATGCAACCCATACCGAAGGTTGTGGTCTTTGATCTTCATCAGTAAATGTTTTAAGTCCTCTTCACTTTCAGCAAGCAAGGTTGTATTATCTGTCTATTCCAGGTTGTTAATGAGTCTTCCTCCAATCCTGATGGCACATTTTCCTTCATAGAGCCCAGCTTCTCAGATGATGTGCTGAGCATATAAACAGCTTTACAGTCTAGCAGACCACGGTGCGAGACTTGGCTGTACTATAGGAGCAGTGCCATTTAGTCTCCCTTGATCTCTTCCTCTATAAAGGGGAATAATTCTAATACCTCTCAGAGTGTTTGTGAAATACGGAAAACTCTTAATAAGTGCTTGGCACACACCGAGTGTTCAGTAAATACCGCTGTGTGCGGTCGAGTCAATTCCAACTCATATTGACCCCATATGACAGAATAGAGCTGCCCCATACAGTTTCCTAAACTTTTTATTTTTTAACTTTTTCTTATGAATTGATTGAAGGTTTACAGAGCAGATCATTAGTTTTCCATTCAACAAATTCTCCACTTCGTTGCATTTCAGTGATGGCAATCCCCACCCTGCCACATCAGTTATCCCATTACCTCTTTATGATTCTCAATTTCATTCAGTCTTCTTTTCCAACCCTTCGGCATTTTGTCCTTAGGTAAACACCACTCTTTTAATCTTGAATGCTTGACCATTGCATGGTGTGGTACTTCACCAGTGTCATTGGCCTCCCTATATGCCTGTCAACTGCTTGACTGGAAACTGAGCTACGAGGGTGAGTTCAATTCCAGATTTGAAGAGTGACCATGGCTGTAATCTGGAAAGGAGGAGATGGTCAGGTTTTTTCTCTTGTGGAGCCACTGGATGGGTTTGAGCCACGGAACACTCGGTTATCAGTTGAGTGTGTTACCATTGCACCGTGAATGCTACTAGCTATTACTCAGCTTCCAAGGAAAGTCAGTTGGAAGATTCCTCTTCTGTAGAATTTCCCCCATCCTCCTGTTGTAGTCCACAGGGCATTATATTCATTTCTGCTATCTGTTTCCCTTGGCAGACTATGAGCATCCTAAGAATAGAGATTGCCCCGTACATGTCTGCATTCAAGTATTAGCTCACTTCCTATCTAATTACAACAGTAAATACAGTATGAGAACATACTATGATATGACCACTGTGGCCAGATTTTGATATGCCTTCTTACATTTACTTTATCATAACCTTGTAAGATTATAATTATCATTCACAGTTCAGAGCTGAGGAAGCTAAGACTCAGGAAGGTTGAATGGTATCCCTAAGCACTGGAAACCTGTGATTACCAGGGCTTGGGCTTGAACCCATTCTGAGCTCCTGGGAGCTGAAGCTCTTCCTCCTCTGCCACTGTCCATGCTGTCGTTATTAACTGTCACTGAGTGAGCCCCTGACTCGTGGCTACCGTGTACACTATGGACCCAAACCCTACCTGGGCCCAGTCCTGTGTCATCCTCCTGATGGGTGATGGATTGGACCATTATGATCCATAAGGTTTTCATTGGTTATTTTCAGAATTAGATCACCAGACCTTCCTCCCTGGTCTGTCTTAGTCTGATGGCTCTGCTGAGACCTGTTCAGCATCATAGCAACACACAGGTCTCCACTGACAGACAGGTGGGGGCTTCATACAAGGAACACTGGTCAGGAGTGGAAGCTGTGCCTCCCGTGTGGAAGGAAAGATGCTCCTCCTGCAGGTAGATGGGAAATGTTGCCTGGATGAGTGAGTAGGTGCAGACGTGCTTTGAGCAATGGAACACCATCTTGGTTTAAGGGAGTGTTCTGCTGTTGCCGATGGTTCGTGCAGCAGGCCTGGGGCCATGAGTGTAGTATGCAGCTCATCATCCCCCACGCAGCTCAGATGGAAACTGTGAGCTACTCCAGGTCACCACCTTAGTCTGTCATGGAAGCAGACCAGTTGACTTTTTTTGTTTTCTTCCAAAAATCAAGGGGGCTTCAAAAAGTTCATGGAAATTTTCTATTCTCTTCATTTTTCCACAAACTTTTTAAGCCCCTTCATCTGTGAACTGGGCATTAAGCAGCCATTGTGCTCCAGCATCTGAGAAATCATCCATCTGTGAACCAGAGGAGTATTAGGAAGATGAGGGAAGAGCCTCAACCTAGCACTGAACATGGATTGAGAATGGTTGAAAGAGAGATACTCACCAGCCCTATCATTGGTAAAATCCTTTTTGAGGTCTACATGATATTCTAAATGCACTGTCTACCTGACAGCTCAGTGACCAGTAAGTGGCCTTCTTTGGGATCAGTGTGTGTGTGTTTGGTACACACATAAAATCTCTGTTCTCTCCACCCCACTAGTGTCCCACAATTAAACCTGTGTGCTGTCCTCATAAATACCCAGTCAAGAACTTCTGGGAAGAGATGGTAGATTGGCCAGGACATGCTAGTAGTGGCCATGTTGCTGGAGAGAGCCTTCTGTCCCACCACCATCCTTGGGTGCCTCTGAGCGAATGTTCACAGAAACAAGATCAAAATGTCCTCAGACACCTTTTAAAGTTTTTATCCAATAGTTTTCAGCACATTGGACCTTGATAAATAGATGAGTTATGAATTATCTTTCTGCACATCAATTTTGAGCAAATAAGCCCAGATCTCTGAGTCTTTTCTATGCTTCTAGAAATATTGTGAACATAGGAGGGCCTGTACACACTTGTGGCCTGACTTATCTGCTGGGCTTGATAGTTGAGCATATCCAAACTGGCCCAGAAATGCCCTGTCCACCTACCGTTTCCGACTGTCCGTAGAACTCATGGATCAGAATGCCTGTCTGTTTTTTCCACTTCTCTAGCTCTTCAGGCAACAGAGCCTCCCCGCCAGTGCTGCAGTGTTCCAGGGCTGGGAACCTGAGACTTAAGGGGAAGGCAAGGAGTCACCAGACCTCAGAAAGGGCCTGGGAGGTTCTACCCCAGGCCCAACTGCATTAAGACCAAACACAGTTTTGTGATCCAGATTATTCATTTTCTTCTTTCTCACTTTCTTACTGAAGGTCCGGACATTTTACCAATGGTCAATTTCATATAAGTAAGGCATAAGACTGCAATTATAGTAGAAACATACTGTCTTCTGTGGAGGGTAGATGTGATGGTTAGTTGCATGTGTCAACTTGGCTAGGTGATAACCTATAACTCTCTGCTGTTGAATGAGGACCGACTCCTCATTTGTTACAGAGTAGAATTTGTTACAGAGTTGAATTGCCCCAGCTACTTCCTAGGAAAATGATGTGACTGTATGCTTCCATAAAGATGGGTGGCCTTGGTTGCAGGCTTGTAGTGTATACCCTTTGATTGGTTGATGATGCATGGAGGAGATTGTAACCATGGCATTGAAACGATATATGATAGGATGAATGTAAAACTACTGTTCTCCCATGTAAACTATCACATAATTCACAGTAAAACATAAAAAAAAAAGATGGATGGCCTTGGGGACTCTCTGGGCAGCTCTATGTGTCCTATATGGTTACTGTTTTGTCAGAATTGACGATCCAGCAGTGGATTGCTTGGCTGTATCTTAGGTCAAGTTTTCAGTCATGTACACACCCTGACTGAATTTTGCTGAGTTTGGATAAAGGCCATCTATAAGTTACAAAGTATATTTGTTTAGGAATATTTCATTAGAAGGTAAATTATAAAAGGGAAATAAGCAGGTAGATATCATAAAAGTCAATGGTCAATGTGTTGCTGTTAAGTGTCTTCAAGTTGGTTCCGACCCATAGCAACCCTGTATAAGGTTTCCGAGGAGCAGCTGGTAAGCTTGAACCACCAACTTTGTGGTTCCAACTGACTTTGCGGTCCAGCGCATTAACCCACAGTGCCACCCCAAAACTCCAAGAGTCAATATAGTGGTATCACTTAGGGGAGCGAGCTATGGAGGTCTCAGCATGCTGACAGTATTCTATTTATGTGACTTGGGTGGGTGGTGCGGTACAGTGAGCAGCTTCAGATGTCTCTTGTAACCATAGTCTTCATAATTCCCACCAAACTGCTTTTTCGCGATAGGTCTGGGTAAGAGCAGATGGGAGATGATACTGATAGGATGGCATGATTCAGCTGTGGATGTTAACAGAGTTAATTTTCATTATAAAAAAATTAAATTCTAGCACGGGTATAAAATGAGACATCTCAGAAGCAGTTGGGGCAGGGTTGGGGTGAAGAAGAAAGAGCTCATTGCCATCAAAGAGCTGGGAGTAGAGCAAGCCCTGTGGACCCAAAGATCCCTGTGCACTGAACTTCCTTGACCCAAGAACAGAAAACTGTGGTGCCAGAGGAGTGGTAGAGGAGCAGCAGCAGCAGAACCGATTACCAGAGTGTGAGGCAGAGAGATGGGCTTCCTAGACCATGGAGCAAGTAAAGCTGAGTGACTCTGGGCAGGAGGCTTGCTTGCAAGAGTGTGGTGCCTGCAGACACTTAACTGAGTGGGGGCAGGTTTGCTGACCCATGGAGCTAGAAACAAATGCCTTCAGGCTGAAGTGTGTGGTGGAGTGGTGCGTCCTGTGGGCATTTACCAACATCCTAAAAGATCTTTCTTTGTAACATGGCCCTGGCAAAGAGATGTCTGCCTGTGAGCACAGCTGAGGAGACGTTGTCCGGACCAGAACAACTTGTCCTGAGCATTTTGGATTCAGAATTGCAACCTGTTAATGTCCCTAATAAACCCCATAACTGAGTATGGTGTCTGAGTTCTGTGTGAACCCAAATGAGAAGCAGAGAATGTTGCGGGGGGGATGGTTGGAACCATTATTTTTGCAGGTGGTTGGTTACACTGGTGTTTTCTTTTCAACAACTCATTAACATATACATCTATGTTTTATGCATTGTTTTATGTCTATTTCAGAATAAGATATTCCGAAAAGAATAAGCCCACAATGATGCAAATTTCCATGAGTACTTCTCTGTGCTCTGTGGGTCCTGCTGTACTGAAGTAATTAGACTGGCTGATAGTTGTCACTTAAAACACACACATGCACACATACAGACACACACACGCACACACACACACACACACAGACACGTATAGATTATGCCCCTTTTCCCCCAGGAACCAGAGGAGAAAACCGTCAGATCGTGATGCCTCAGGTGCCCTAAAATCCTACTTGGAGATGGCTGTCGCCAGCCACGTCTGCCATACCTTGTGAAATTCTGCTGCATGATCATCCGGTAAGTGGACGGTGCACCAATGCATTGGGTGATGGGGTATTTGAAGAATGTCTAACAAATGAGACAAGAAGGAATTATATTTTCACAACGAAGGTCAAAATTATCAACTAATTACTCACATTTTAGTTCTGACCTCACCTCTGGGGATGCCCATTGTTTTCATTTGTTAATTTATTTAGTATTTATATATTGAGCCTGAGTTTTGTACATGGCACTGGGTCAGGCCCTCCTGAGGAAAGCAAGAAAAATAAGGTAACTTCCCAACTTGTATGGAGAGTTGGTACTAAGAGAGGGGATAAGACAGGATCCAAATGGCAGAGCCAAATTTTGTATCGTGAGAGAGATTTGAAGTTTATTCTTTAAGGTCATAAAATACAAAAGTCTTTCAGTCAACACCAAATCTTGGTGACCCCAAGAACTGTGCTCCTTATGTTTGGTTGGTTGGTTGTTTTTGTAAACGTATGGATAACATTTGCCAGTTTAACATGGACATCAATCATATTGTGTAAGCATCGCCAGTATCTGTGAGTTTTTAATTGCTGACTTTTTAAAGTAGATTACCAGGCTTTTGTTTTGAAACACCACTGGGTGGATTCAGCATTTAGTTAGTATCTGAGTACACTGACTGTTTGACACCACGCAGGGACTTTACAAGGACATAGCAGAAGATTCAGTTCCTTCTGGTTGGTGGTTCAGGGGCATCAATACAAGTGGCGGCATTTAGTTAGGGCATTTAACAAATGAAGACTGTGTATACGCAGAGAAGGTGGGGAAGTCCTTGGAGACAGATGGGGTACGAGGGAGCTGCAGAAACATTTATATATAGGCCTGTAATGTGGTTAGGAGTCCTGGTGTGGTGCTGTGGGTAAACAGGCCAGACTACAAAGCCGTTTGAACTACAAGGTCGGCGGTTTAAGCTCACCAGCTGTTCCTTGGAAACTCTAGACAGGGTCACCCTAGACAGGGTTGCTATGGGGCAGAACTGACTTGATGGCACTTAACAACAACAATGTGGTTTATTTAGATATATAGAAAGGGAACAAGAAATACACTTATAATTGTTGAGTGCCATCGAGACAAATATTGGCTAAGCCCGGATGGTGCACTGATTAACGGAAGATCCAGGACACCTGATCTTATTCTGATTGCTTTAATTTCTCTAAATGTGTGTTTCAGGTTCCATGTCCACAAAGTCTAACCCATAGTTCTGGGAATTACTCAGAAATATACATTCCAATCAAAGCTACATCTTGATGTGATTATGATATGGTAATGATGATTCAATGGTCCACACTTTGAGATCTCTGTAACCAGAACCACATAGTGCTGATGGGCTTCCTTGCTAAATCAAGGATTTCCCAGGAGGGTTTAGCTTGGCCTTGAAACTCCTGGCTTCCTCCAGGAGTTTGTTGATACTGAGAGGTTATTCTGCTTACCTGTACAATGACATTGGGGTCAAACTGGGGCAGCTGATGGATGAAAACAGTAGCCCCTGCAGTCCATGGTTCAAGCATGGCCCCTAAGACAGCCAGAATCCAGCCTGGGTCCGACAGGCACCAAACGATATCGGACGTCTTCAACTGTAGCAATTTCTTGCTATCTCCAAAATACAGTCATCTCAGCTGTGGAGTAGGGGCCTGGGGACTCTGGTGTCTGGATAGGGACCCGCCCCGCTCACTCCAGTTCATGCGGTTGTGTGGGGCTGCAGGTCCACCCTTTCCCCAGTGTACTTTTTCTGGTCTTCCTATGGGCTCCACACCAGCTGATAAGCACTAGCTATCCTTAAATCTCTCTTGCTCTAAGAATACCATTTTTTATATCCCACTGTACGGAAAGCCCTCCATTCCTGTCACTTCCATTCTTCCTGAACTTTTTACTTGGACCCCAAACCCAAACCGGTTGCCATGGGGTCACTGTTGACTCATGGCTACTCCATGTGTCACAGAGCAGAACTGTGCTCCGTCAATTAGCTCAAAACCCACTGCCCACAAGTTGCCTTTGCTGACCCCTGTTCTGGTTTAATCATTTAAAACTATATAGACCTAGGCTGGTTGGAATATTACCAGTGTGGGGTCAGCGGGATGGGAGCAGAGGTTTGATTGAGGGTTGGTTAAATAATTAACCCTGAGAAGAGTGCCTCAGCCTCTCTCTACTATTTGGTTTGCTTTAGGGACAGTGGTGTAGACTGTGGTTTGGGTCCAGGTTTGGATCCCTAAGCAGCTTATTATTTAGAAACCCATCTCTGACTTGCCATTCATGGAGGAGCATGGGGGGCCTATCCCCTCAGACCACATTGCCAGAACATGCTACATTTCTCCACCAAACTCTAGAGGCACTTACAGAAACAGTGACCTGTGTCTTTACTACACACACACATACTATCCACACACTGTGTCTATAAGCCTCCACAGGAACATGTCTCCCCTCTCCACACAAACATACACCCTACACATTCTCCACACACTCCCATATACACACACACTATCCACACAAACGTGCACACCCTACACATTCTCCACATATTGCACCTTCACCTCATCCACATACACATGTCTGCCCTCTCTGTGCACACAAACATACACTACACACACACATTCTCCACACTCCATACCTATATACCCTCCACATTCACGTATCTACCATCTCCACACAGACACACACACATTTCCACACACTACACATCCATATTGTGCACATACACATATCTACACTGTCTACACATACATACCTACTCCAGCACACAAAGACACAAAGACACATTCTCCACACACTGCACCTATACTACCTCCACATGTGCATTTCTACGCTCTCTCCACACACACACACACACATTGTTCACACACACTCTCCATATACTACAACTATACATACTCCATATACATACCCATGTCTACTTCTCCACATAGACACATATACCTTATACATACATACATTCTCCACACACTGCACCTCATACCCCCACACATGCATAGAGCCTCTCCACATGACACACACACACACACACACACACACACAACCAGACTCCGCCTCTAAGTTAGCGTCTTCTTTCCTACCAGGAAGGGAGGGAAGATCGTAAAGCAAGTTCATGGCTGTGTTTTGCCATCTTAGGGAAGCCGGTGGTTCCACTGGTGAAGAAGGCAGCCATTGGGTCCAGGGTCTTTGACTTAATACAGGTGTGGTCTGGGGAAGCTGATCTGCAAAAGGGATTTAAGACAAAAGGAGAAAAGTCGTATTTGCGATTTTCCATCCTCTAAACAAGCAAAGGAAAGAATATGAGATTTGGGGTCAGGAAACTAGAAGTTTGCAACAGTGGAAGGAAAATGATTTTTCTTGCTCTTAGGTGTCATATTGACATTATGGTTAATTTAGACAAGTAGACTGTCATTTCCTCATCTGGAAAATAGGGCAATACAGTGGTTTTAAGAAAATTGTTGTTGTCAAGTGCCATCAAGTCTGTTCCAACCCATAGCAACCCTGTATAAGGTTTCCAAGGAGCGACTGGTGAGCTTGAACCACTGACCTGGCAGTTCAAACGGTTTTGCAGTCTTGCACATTAACCCACAGCGCCACATCAGGACTCCATTTTGTTGTTGTTAGGGGCCATCGAGTCGGTGCTAACTCATGGTGACCTTATGCACAGCAGATCGAAACACTGCCCAATCCTGGGCCAACCTCACTATTGTTGCCACCCTTGAGCCCACTGATGCTGCCACTTGGCCATCTTAGCAAACATTTAAATAGAATTCACTATGTCTCAGACAATGCTCTAACTGATTCACATATGACTTCGTTTAATCTTTAGAGCAACCTGAAGAGATGATTACTGCTTTTGTAGTTCCATTTTGCAGATGAGAAAACTGAGAGCTTAGCTAACTTGCCTGAAGATGTAATCTAGTAAGTAGCAGAGCCATCAGAACCAAGCAGGCTGGCCTCTAACCTGTTGAGCTTCCATCACTTGGCCACCTGTTTCTCAGCATTGGGGACAGGTGGCCTCTCCCACCATTCTGCAGTGTACAACCATTAAGTGACCAGAAACTCACTTGACCAGTGACCGGAAGTCCAGCCACCCTTCAAGGTGGTGGTCAGACACCACGAGCTTAGTTTTCAGAGAGGGACATTCAGAAGCCACCGAGTCCACCACTGGGGCCAGGGTCTCTGTGGTCACGATGCCCTTGGCTTGAGACTTCTGTATTCGGTAGCGAATGTCCTTGGCTGTCAGCTGGGTGGTGCCTGTCATGAAGA